TATGCCAACAGACAGAGATGCCACAAATGGAAGGCGGCCATTTCTGCACAACGTAGTGAGCAGTCTCATCCCCACACAGAATCATACGATCACAGAATCACTTTAATTGTGACACTGCATCTTAAAAAATTGTAGAAGATGAAGGCTTCTCTGTAGGATGCACTCCTACAACCACTGCTTGTATCTGAAGGACCATGAACACTGAATGCACTGGAAAAGGAGTGAAAGGGGAAAAAAAGGAGTCTGCAGAGGTGAAATATCTACCAAAGATCTCACTAAGGTTCAGGATGAGAAGGAAAAAAAGACAAGCATCCTGTTTGTTGGCCTTGCTCTTCACGCTACTCAGCACCATCATTTCCAGTGTCAAAGCTGGAACATATGACAAACACATAAAAGAAAAATACATCTCCTGAACTGTTAGCTCCAAGACAAATCAAGGCCCCTTTATTGTACAAGAGCATCATTCTTGTACCTCTCTTCTCCCTATGTGCATTCCTACATTACAAGAGGAAACTGCTATGCTATCATGGACGTAAAACTCCTTTGGTAGATCTAAGTGCCTTCAGTAAAATGCCAGAAAATGCTTCTTCCCTCCAGTTAGGAAAACTCCCTGCTGTAGGGAGTGACTCATAATCCAGAAAGCAAGAGAAGATGGGGGGCCCTGATGGCACTTTTCCAGTCTTAATCAGCACTGACTGCATGGCAATAGAGACTGATTAGCTGCCAGAAGTTCTTTCTTTCTAGGATACTTGAAATTGTGGTCCAGAACAGTAGTGACCTTTGTGTAGTCTGTGTTCCATTAAAAAAAATGCAAAATCAGAGGCCGTAGCTTCCCATGGTGGCCAACAAAATATTTTGATAGATTTATCCTAATCTCCTGCAGATCTCCATTTCTCCTTCCCCATCCTTAATCAATTTCCACTCCAATAAATATTTTCTTCCAACTTGCCTATCTGTGATCACACATTTAGCAATACAGAGGGCTGTGACAGGGAGAAAGCATCCTTAACAGACACTGCATAACACATGTGGGAATCCTTTCTAATAAAAAGGGATTAGATTAAAGACAGCCAGCTACCACAGATCAGCAACTGAATCAGCAGTAAAGAGTAACCTAGACTTAGGAGACTTCAATTTGCTGATCTGTCAAGGACTTCCAGAGAGAAATCACTCTGTATGTCATTCCATAACCTACAGGAGGGTAGGAGGTGATACGCACAAAGACTGGGGTACTTAGATGCAGTATGGTGGAGTGGGCTTTCAACAAAACTGAGAAAGTAGAATTACCAGAATTGTATGTTTAACTCCTAAAAATGCACTCTTTTTGTTCATCTGTTTAAGTACGATGCTCTCTGATTATAATTCTGTGATTAATCACTGCCTTGCCACTGCCAGCTAGAGGATTTCCCAGTGACAGATCGTGCCGCTGTAGTGAATCTAGGCAATAACTGATCTTGCTCCTTCAAAGTGTGCTTCCAGCATGCTGTTTCTTGGCTTACCAAGTTCCCTGGTTCCTCAGGAATGCAGCATGAGACATAATATGCTACCAGCTGCGTGTGCCTTGGTGAGTAGTCACTGGCTACAGCAGTTTCCCCCCTCTCTGAAACCACCTCCAGTAACTTGAACTCAGGGAAGCTGCAGAGAAGTGTTGTGGTGAGCAGAGATCTGATGGAAGTGCTGGCTGGCTGGCTCCCAAACTCAGCTCACCCAGTCTCCCAGCAGCACCAGCTGGCATGGCCAGGGCAAAGAGGCTTCAGACTCTTGCTCCTCCTCCCTCTCCAGGAACATCGGCCTATGCTGAAACAAGATGGCTCGTTGGTAAACCAGAGATAAGGAAAGTGGAACTGCAGCAGGAAGATGGTTATGGAAAAGATCTTAGTGTGCTGACAGGGCAAGTAAAATGACCTTTCTCCAGTCTGACAGTTCAAATGTAATTATTCCAACAAATTATTTCCATGACTTAATATAACGCCTTGCAGCTTTCTAGCAAGGTTAATTAGATTCCTCAATTCAAAACCTATCTGTTCTTAACCAACTTTTAATATGCTGAAATCCAGTTTTCTAAATTCAAACTAATAAAAGTGATTAGCTGACAGCTATCTGGTATGCTACAATTACCATGGCATTTAGACCCCAGGCAGAAGATATTTAATGCAAATCAGAGTCAATGTCTCTGCCCATTTGTCCTTTTTCTGATTATTGGATCAATGTGCCATATGAATCTTGTACAATCCATGTTACTATGCTAAACAAATAAAGAATGGAGAATAAAGGCAGAGATACTGGTTCAGACAGTTAACCAAAGTTGAAAGACTCCTTTTTTCCTCCCACACTTAATTTCTTCTTTCCACATGAGCATGAAGTTGTGGGGAGGCACAAGGCTGACAGCTCAGTAGATGGGTATTCAGCTCTGACAAAGCCAGAATTAGTCTAAAACTCCCAAGCCTGCACTGCCATATCTGAAATCCTCAACCATTGTGATCCCAGAGACCATTTTCCTCTGAGAGTAGGTTGGGCTGGAATAAACCTAAAGGGATGAGGGCAGACCACCTCTTTGATTTTATCCCACCATAAAAAGCAGTTGTGTCCCAGGACTGCTAGTTTTGTTTTGTATTTTTCTTGGAAGGTATATAATTAGTTGTGGCTATGTTTCCCAAATTGCCGCATGGGGCACAGCATGCTTAAAGCTGAGGAGTTCAGCTCAACACACAGTTTATCTGCACATCAAGAATGCCATGGCTGGAGACTCAGAGATGATCTTCAGTGGCATAGACTGAGTGCAATTAGAAGATCCATCAGGTGCAGCTTGTAATTAAGCATCATCTGCCCAAGGACGACCAGTGTTGTTGTTTGATTTTCACCAAGCAGCTTGCATCATGCACAATCACTCTATCTTTGATCATGCTGCTGCTTATAACAACATTGGCAACATTTCCAAACGATCTGGATGCTCCTTTCCATCTCCTGTTCTCCTGCTGAATTAAGAGCTACTGGCAAGGCATTGGTCTGACCTTCCATCCGATAGCCAAATTGATGACCTAACATTGAGAGACCTTATGTTCCAATCCTCTGAGCCATGCATCCCTGTTAGATGAATAAGCTTTTGATGTACCACGCTCGCAAACAGAGCAGAACCATCTCAGTGATACATTATTAGCCTGCAAAACCCTAGCATTTCAGCTCCATAAATACAAGTGCTAAACAAAACTAAAGCTTCACTTCAGGAAGCAATTTCTGAGCTGTGAGGAAAATTAATCACTAGAACAGCTTACCAGGGTAGGTGGTTGACTCACCATTGCTTCAAGTCTTTAAGATAAAAAGATTAGATTTTTTAAAATTTTTTTGTTTTTTAAAGTCCTGATTCAATCAAGCTTTTTGGGAGAAATTGACAGTAGGACCAGTAGGACAACGGGCTGTATAGTGGCAAGGTCTCTTCTGAACTTAGATCCTGTGAGTTTCCAAATATTCTGCTCACCCAACTGACTTACCGAGCTTATGGAAAGAATGGAGTGGGCTTCAGTCCCTGAACTGGCTCTTGCCACTTACAGTTCTGCATTAAGAAAATTACTGTAATCAAATCTCATGCTTCAGGGCTTCAGCCGTTTGCCTGAAGGGAGCAGGAAAAAGGCTTCTCCTTCTTGCCCGCCCACACTAATAGCTAAGTACATGTTATGTTTGTTTGGCTTGTTGTTGCTTCTCTTTTAAAACATTAGAGAGTGAACTCAAATGAGAATGGGGCAGAGACAAAGTCAAATGCAGCAACACAGAAAATGCTCTCTGGTTATCCAGTCTTCAGAAAGTCATTCTTGCTTACACTTAAATCTGTACCAGTCATCAGCTTTGACGACAGTCACCATTTACAAAGAAGACATTTTGGCTGTAAGGGTGGACACCATGGAAGGCAGAGGATACTGACGGAGAATGGGGATTGATATCTACCCAATGTCACAGAATTATGTTTATCTGATGAGAACATCTTGACCTTCTCATGTAATCAGATTCTTTTCACTGAAAAATCCTTGTTTATTAGGACCTTGGTTCCTCCTGCTTTCCAATTAAATAAAATGACTGAACCTTCTTTAAGTCAGACATGCTTTTGTCCAACCAAAATCTATAACCAGCAGACCTACAGGGCAATCTAAGTGACATTTTTAAGAAGTGATGAAATAATGGAAGGCGAAAAATGACAAAATGAATAGCTTATTCTAGCTGTTAACTATATCAATTAAAGCAGTTTGTTTCCTAACAACAGGACACTGACGCTTAGTAAGAAACTAAACAGACAGGCAGGATGTATCAAATATGCCCAAATCTCTTGACCTTAATGAAGGATTCACAGTCTGCAGCACTTGTTTTACATAGAGGTAAGACACATATTTTATATGTATAGAAATCTAAGGTAATTCAGTTATATGCTCTTTCCAAAGAAATCAGCTCATTATCTTTTTGCAGGTGAGGAAGACGACATAGATATAATGACTCAATCAGCTCAGATTTATCTTCCTCATATTTGTTGGACACAGTTCTGGGCTAATGGGTGTCCATATAAAACCAACCCGATTGATTCAAAATGGGTTTCTTTTTAATCTATGCCAGCACACAGGAGCAGAATGCATTTACATTGTCAGGTTCCCTGCAGATGCAATGAGAAGACAGGGATGGGGCAGATGGGCAAGGAAGTGCATGAAACCTGAATTCACCCTGGTAATCTACAGGCTGGGGACAGACGGTGTCAAAAAGAACCAAAAACTGAAAAATTCCACTTTGTAACCAGAAAGACTGTAAACATACAGCAAGTGAGCACGAGATTTATGCTGAAATTACAGAGGAATTCCTATGGATGATTACGCTTCCAGCCCAAGCATGGAAAGCAAGTCTATCAGTACGAATGTCACTGTATTAACACTGCAGCTGTCATGCCTCCCTCCCCATTACCAAACCTGGTATATACAGAAAGGGGCTATGGAAAGACTGATTCAACGTGACATGGCACTGCTCACCAAAGTAGTCATCAGAGGGAGGATTCTCCATGTCATACAGCATTTTCTTCGTCAGATGTTCCAGCTCATCTTCAGGCCTGAAGGCAGGAGTGCTTGTTGTGGGTCCAGAGCTTGGATACCCACTCTAAAAAACAAGAAAAAGAGAACAAACAGTTTGTGATGTGGTATGAAAGCATTCCCCTACAGTAAAAGAATCTATTGACTGCTCAGTGCTGAACTTCATTGTCTTTTTGCTTTTTTTAAAACCCAAGAGATTCACACAAGTAAACATCCCATTTAATGTAATGAAAATGGACTCCTAAAAATGTCCAGCAAAGTGCTACATATCCTATTAGAATGAGAAGAACTCTGTGCCTCATAATTAGGTGTCCACTGGGTAGCACACAGTAATAAATAAAGGAGAAATATTATTCCAAGGATAACTTGATACAAACATTTTCCAACACTGAAAAAAGACTTTGGAAGCATTTCAGTTTGGATTTGGCAAAAGCTTCCATCATTTAACAATGCAATAAAAGAGAGGCTAGAACAATCATTCCTACAGTCGCGGAGTGTATAGACAAAGACAGATAATTCCAAGCTGCTACTTTTGTTCTCTTCTTGTTTGTTTTGACACAAATTCTGCTGTTAACACTTGCAAGAGCAGGAGGTAACCCACAGATTTTTAGTGCTAGGGATACAAAGGTTTTAGTATGCACTTAAGAACTGAGACCTCTTGGCCTTCATGTGCTAACAGCTAGCATAAAATATTTAAAGTCCATCTCAGTGAGCTTTCTCCCTGGAAAACAGCAGAACTACAGGCGTATTTTGAGAAGCACAGAAATAGTCACATGCCTAAGAGTTTCTTAGAAGAAGCTAAGTTTGGTGTCTGCAGTGAGAAACTCGGTCATTTCAGGATTAAAAACATGCTGACATCAGTTTTCCTTCTGTGCACTGCTTTCTTGAAAGACCCGCATGTGAAAACTAACTTATTTATGAAATGAAGTATTTGAATAAAGGAAGGGATTTAATTGATCAATCTCTACCTTCATCAAAGATCAGACCTCACATAAGAAACTTCTGAGTGATAGTCTACAAGTAAGCACTTTTTCATGCTCTTTCCCTATTTAAAAGGGAAGAAAAAGTAAGATCATTGGAAAAACAATACACCTCTATCCAGCTTATATGGAATACACCTGACACAACGAATTCTTATAAAGCCAGTCACATTCAGCAGAGAACAGCAGCTTTAAAACACTGCAAGAGAATTAACTAAATACTTTTATTCTTTTTTCCTTTCAGGCAAGAGAGAATTTCAAATGAGACATCAATCAATGTAGAGAAGGTCTCCAAACACTGCTTAGCAATAATACTTCAATCATCCACTCCGAGAAACCAAACACTTGCATGTTCCTGACCTCGTCATATTTATTTTTCTAGGGCCTGTGCTAAGCTGTGTTCCATCACCTCTCTTTCCTGTTGACCTGACCTCCCTCACACATGCAGCACCCATAAGTGCAGTAGCACCACTGCGCTTCTTGGAAGTGCTGGATTTGCTGTGCACACACAACAGGGCAGTTGTACAGGCTGCTGCCTATCACTTGCTCTCTAATGGAGCAGCAGTGCACAAATGAATTGGGTGGCACGGTTCTCCTGGAAGAAAGAGCGCCTGGAAAAAGCCCCAGGCTGGATTCATTTCCTTCAAGGCTATGCAAGTTCTGTTTGCCATATATCCAGCACCCTTACCTGAGGATACAGATTGAAACCATACATTCAGGTTTTCCCATAGATGGTCTATTTTTCTGCTGAGGAATTTTTTTTATTTTCCTGAGCAATGTTCAATCAGTTTATGCACTTGTCCATGATTTCTATATGCCCAGCAGTTGTTCTGAGTAAGTTGCTGAGCATCTGCTAATCTTGAACGTCTACACATAGCTCAACAAATGTTCTTGCACAAAAGCAACCACCTATGTTTGGGTTACCACAACTTATTTTTTCAAATGGAGAGACAGGCTTGTATGGTGCACAGGACTTACACTTGCTTTCAAAGGCAAATAAGTGCCACCTCTGTGGGATATTTCGTTTTGGTATGGATAAGGTCATTCACTTAACAAATCTCAGAGCCAGGTACTTAACCCAACAGCACCAGATGCCCTTGGTGTTTTGTGGCTGTTCTTAGAAGGCTAATTTACAATTGCTTCACTAGAAATAATAAATAATGTAGCCCTGAAAAAAAAAAAAAAAAAAAAAAAAAAGTTTCATTAATAAAGCAATTAAGGCTGCCAAATACAAAGCATTTAATCTTGGAAGAACCACATATTTTCCTTTGCTCTCTTGTTCCTGTGAGCTGACCATGAATCTTGCCCGAACATACATTTTAACACAGCAAGAGCAGCCAAGGATTTATTAGCTTGAAAAATCAGTTTAGCATCTGGACATCTTATAATATCATTTCATCCTCTTTCAGTTTCCAGGCGGAATGGAATGAATGACCAGTGCTGTCCTGTGAAGGAATCACAGAGGATGGCATGGCTGTGGGGTCTGTGCCTCTCCTTCACGCCAGTCTCCACATCTCTGGAGCAGGAGGCTGCTCGTGTCTGTTTCAGGAAGGGCTCTGGCTGTGCCATTTAAAATGAAATATCAATATCTGCAGACTTTCTCTAGTTTGGGAAACCATGTATCCTCACACGCAATAAAAAGACTGCTCTCATATTTTATCTACGTTGCACTTTTCCAGATTGGGCAGATTTCTTATCCAGTATTCAACATCAGCAAAAACAACACACACCAACCACAATGTTAGGAGACATTTTAACTTATTTTGACTAAAATGCTACGATTTTTTGACCAGCATTCAAGCAATGCTAGGCACATATTTTTTCTCCTTGCATGGCACATGCTGACTATGTGCCTCCAGGAAAATGCAGTTCATACATATGAACATGCTGTTGAGTTTGCCGGGCACGCGCACACACAAACATAGAGAAGTGTATCTTTAGTGGATCTAGAATGCTTGTTTCAGCAAAACAGTTTCCTTCCTCCTCCTTTGTTAGCTCAGGGTAAAAATACAATTCTGGCTTTCCTTACAGAACAGTTGTGTTGTTGTTTATTAAACTTCCTCTGTTTTCTCCTGATCTGTACCATGATCAAGGCTGTCTAGAAATACAATTTGCTGCCTAATCTGCCACAATCATCTTCATGCATTCTCTTTTCTCTACAATGCTTCAGTGTACACTGCGCCTGAGACACAGAGAGCTCAAAGCTGTGCTCTGTGCTGAGCGGCCTCCCAGATCCACTGAGCATCCCAGCAACATCAGAGATTATAAAGTGGCCCGTGAAAATGGAAAAGAGCTCTGCTCTGCAAAGAGGGACCACGCTTTAGAAGCACTGGAGTACTATTTTTCACTATTCCCATCAAATATGGAGCAGCTTTGGGAAAAGCATGACGAATGCAGTTGTGTTTGCAGATGTGTATGCATTCACAAACAGATGGACTAGGAACTGCCAGCATTCCTAGGGTTAAACTCCATGGCAGAAAATATCTTCATGTTACAAACAAAAGGAAGTGAGTTAATCGCTTGTGCCACTCCAAGCAGTGCAACAACATCTGATTCATCTTCCTCATTAAAGTTCAGTTCCTAAAAAGCCAGGTCAAAAGAAGCAGTCACGTGGAATTGCTGCACAATTATTTTGGTACATGGAGTTGAAACTTTCTTCAGCGCTTCTCTGGTATGTGCTCTGTACTCCAGACCTCATTGGTAAGCAGCTGCCTCTGGAGCTCTGGCTGCCCAGACAGAAGGAGCTCTGGAGGGAGTGGGCTGCATTCTCCAGCATGAACTTTCCCCGTCCACATACAAATTTTCACCCAAATGGGTAAAAATCCCAGTACAAAATCTGCAAAGACATCTGAAGATGATGCAACCATGAATGTACCATCATTCAGAGTACACTGTATGCGGTCATTTTTTCTTGTCCATTTGCAAATGCTGCACAAGTTTCTTCTCTCGGAGAGAAAATCACTTCAATTATGTGTTCCCAATTACAGAAACGTGGAAATTATCTTCTTTTCAGAAGGTAGAATTAGCCCAATTTGGAATTGAAAAGCAGCCAGAAACATCTCACACTGATACTTACTTTCCATTTCATTTTTTTCTACTCGTTCATCTGCATGAAGTTAGCACTTTCCTTTCACTTCACTCACCAGAACTCGTCGTCAGTTAAATAAACAGTTAAAGAACATCTTTGCTCATTTCTTATTCAGTGGCCTGACAAAGACCATGCTTTTTCATTTAAGTTATTGACTGTCCAAAACAATCGCAAACTTTGAGACCAAAAAATTCAGCATGGTGCCGCATCTCTCCAACGAGTTGAGCTCCCAAAGAAATAACGATTGCCTGCAGCTGTAATTCAGTCTGTAATTAAGGCCAACTGAACCCTCTTACAGAGGAGATGCGCTGGAAAAAAAATATTTTAATTCTTGATTTATTTTCCCAGTGAAAAGTCACAGCTGCCTGAGTACATACAGATTCCTGAAAAGACGATGCTGCCTAGATTCCTGCCACACGCACATTCCTGGGTTCACTCCTGCTTGGAGAATAATTCAAGTCCCTCCAAAGAAGCTGCCCTGAAAGAGGGGATGTCCACCAACCTCTGCAACCCACGAATGGCCTGAAATTACAAGTTTTTGGGCAGCTGGGAGAGTGGCCTCCCCTGGGATGGGCCAGAGTGGGGCAAACCATCAGCGCCCCCACAGCCACCACTTCCCAGAGCAAACCAGTAATCCAGAGCGGACAGCTCTGGCAGCAGAGCCCTCATTTATTAAACAGTGGCATGCTTTGAAATAGGGCAGTTTTGTAACTACTCCAAAGCTCTAGAGGATATTTTTCTTTATTTTTAAACTTCATTATTGTAACTCTATCCTCACTTGGTTATCCACGCACATTCCCAGTCTTATTCAAATCCTGCTAAGCTCCGATTTTCAACAATCTCTTGTGACAGTGTTACACAAAATATGTGCAATAATAATAATAGTAAATTAAATATTTCTGTTTTAAACTCACAGCCTGCAATTTTGGTAAAAAGTCCCTTTTAGGGATGCAGACAGGTGGAAGGGGAGATATCTTGTCTGTAAAATCAAGAGAATAG